TTTCATATACCTGTTGACTTTGTATGTCTTCTTTGAGAAATGTCTATTCAGATCCTTTGCCCATTTTAAATTGCATTATTTGATTTTTTTTCCTCCTGCAATGTTGGAGCTCCTATATATTCTAGTTTATTGTCCATGTCAAGTGGGTAGTTTGCAGATATTTTCTCTCATTCTGTGGGATTGTCTCTTCTCTTCATTGATTGTTTCCTTTGCAGTGCAGAAGCTTTTTAGCTTGATATGGTTCTGTTTGTCCAATTTTGCTTTGATTGCCTGTGCTTTGGGGGTATTACTCAAGAAGTCCTTGCCTAAACCAATGTCCTGACTGGGTGTGATGGTTCATGTCTGTAATCCTAGCACTCTGGGAGGCAGAGGTAGGAGGATCACTTGAAGTTAGGAATTGGAGACCAGCCTGAGCAAGAGTGAGATCCCATCTCTACTAAAAATAGAAAAACTTAGACGGGCACGGTTGCATGCACCTGTAGTACCAGCTACTCTGGAGGCAGAGGCAGGAGGAGCCCAGGAGTTTGAGGTTGCTGTGAGCTAGGCTGATGCCATGGCACTCTAGCCTGGGCTCTGTCTCAAAAAAAAAAAAAAAAGAGAAAGAAAGAAAGAAAAGAAAAGAAACCAATATCCTGAAGTATTTCCCTACTGTTTTATTTTAGTAGTTTCATAATTTCAGGTCTTAGATTTAAGTATTTAATCCATTTTGATTTGATTTTTGTATATGGTGAGAGATAAGGGTCTAGTGTCATTCTTTTGCATATAGATATCCAATTTTCCCAACACCATTTATTGAAGAGATCATCCTTTCATCACTGTATGTTCTCGGCATCTTTGTTGAAGATAAGTTCACTATAGATGTGTGGATTTATTTTTGGGTTCTCTACTCTGATCCATTGGTTTGTGTGTCTGCTTTTATGTCAATACCATGCTGTTTTGGTTACTATGGCTCTGTAGTATAATTTGAAATCAGGTAATGTGTTTCCTCCAGTTTTTCTCTTTTTGTTCAAAATGGCTTTGGCAATTCAGGGTCTTTGGTGGTTCCATATAAATTTTAGGATTTTTTTTTTATTTCTGTGAAGAATGTAATTGATATTTTGATGGGGATTGTATTGAATTTGTAGATTACTTTGTGTAGTATGGACATTTTAACAATGTTGATTTTTCCAATCCATGAGTATGGAATATTTTTCCCTTTTGTGTGTCCTTTTCTATTTTTTATCAATGTTTTACATTCTTGTTATTGGGGTCTCTCATTTTTTTGGTCAAGTTTATTCCTAGGTATTTTATTTTATTTGTAGTTATTGCAAATGGGATTATTTTCTTGGTTTCTTTTTCACATTGTTTACTGTTGGCATACAGAAATGCTCAGTAGCATTTTGTATGTTGATTTTGTATTCTGCAACTTTACTGAATTTGTTTATTGGTTCTAATTGTATTTTTGTGGAGTCTTTAGGTTTTTCTAGATATAAGATCATATTATCTGCAAACAAAGATAATTTGACTTCTTCCTTCCCAATTTGCATGCCTTTTATGTTTTTCTCTTGTCTGATTGCTCTAGCTAGAACTTCTAGTACTATGTTGAGTAACAGTGGTGAAAGTGGGCATCCTTGTCTTGTTTTAGATTTTAGAATAAAGGCTTTCAGCTTTTCCCCATTCAGTATGAGACTAGCTGTGAGTGTATCATATATGGCATTTATAATATTGCGGTATGTTCCTTCTATACCTAGTTTTTTGAGAGTTTTAATCATGAAGTGGTGTTGAATTTTATCAGATGCTTTTTCAGCATCAATTGAAATGATCATATGGTTTTTGTCCTTTGTTCTGTTGATAACATGTATCGCATTGATTGATTTTTGTATATTGAACCATCCTTGCATGCCTGAGATGAATCCCATTTGATCATGATGAACAATCTTTTTAATGTATTGTAGAAATCAGTTTGCTGGTATTTTGTTGAGGATTTTTGCATCTATGTTCATCAGAGATATTGGCACATAGTTTTCTTTTTTTGTTGTGCCTTTGGTTTTGGTATCAGGGTGATAAAGGCCTCATAGAATGAGTTTGGGAATAACCCTTCCTCCTCGATTTTTTGGAATAGTTTTTGGATTGGCCTTAGTTCTTTTTTGAATGGCTGGAGAATTCAGCAATAAATTCATTGGGTCCTAGACTTATCCATGATGGGAAACCTTTTATTACTGCTTCTATCTCATTTCTTGTTATTCAGGTTTTACGTTTCTTCTTGGTTCTTGGTAGGTTGTATGTGTGTAGGAATTTATTCAGAAAAATTATCCAATTTTCTCCTAGGTTTTCCAAGTTCTGTCATATATATGCCATGTGCAGAACTGCACTGTTTCAATTTAGTGTTATAATCTCAGCGATTTCTTGTGTGTGTGTGTGTATATATTTTTTGTTTGTTTGTTGTTTTGAGATGGGGTCTCGCTCTGTCTGACTAGAGTGCCATGGTGTCACCCTAGCTCACAGCAACCTCAAATCCTGGGCTTCAGGATCCTCTTGCCTCAGACCCTGAGTAGCTTGGGCTATAGGCATATGCCACCACACCCAGTAGTTTTATATTTTTAGTAGAAACGGGGTCTCACACTTGTTGGTGGTCTCAAACTTCTGATCTCAAGTGATCCTATCACCTTGCCTCCCAGAGTGCTAGGATTAACGTTGTGAGCCACCACACAGCCTTGGTTGTGTATATTATGTGCTACAAACTGAGTGGTCCTGAGGGGCCATTGCCTGGTTTTGCCTCTGGACACCTGAATTGATAGGTAAGGACCCCTTGCGCCATGGTTTATAGAAACAATGGGAAAATGAGGATGATAAGAGGATTGTTGGGAGTGACTGTAATATGAATTCTGTACAATTTTTACTTATACTTAAAAGCAAAGATATAGGTTCTAATACCAAGATCCATTTCCTCATTGTTGAAGCCCAGGTAATAATGCCTAGTCAGTATGTTAAGGAATAGCTTTGGTCCTGTCTGAGTCTCCATCTGTGCATCTCTCAGCTAAGATCTGGTCAGTAAGCACATGCTTCTTATTTCAGGCCTGCACTACTAAGTCTCAGTCCCATTAACTCATTCTGTATAGAATCGTCACTAACTAATTTCTATGAAGTATTTTGCAGCCTTTTGAAAAATTCTGCAAAATGCTTGCTGTCAAGGTGTGCTAGGCCAGCTCCTTCTCTCTCTTTGTGCTATGAGAATTCTATTTGTGGAGAGTGATGGGAGTGATTATGCTCTGTCTTGCTTGGAGTAAGAACTGAAGACACCTTCCTACTAGGCAGAAATAGAGAGGCCTCTGCTCTTACTGTGTAACCACACCGGACATTCCTAGTAGCTGTAGGTCAGTGAGTACATGTCCATTTAATGCCTCCTAGAACTGGCTCATTTTAATTAATTAAGTCAGAAGCAACTTAACTTTTGCATTTTTGTTAATTCAGGTTCAGATTGGCATAGCTACATTCCAGTGTTCCTTAGGGGTTTCCACCCTTAGACAGGGTCCTTTGATAGGACTGTCTGCACCTGCAGAGAGGCTGAGTTACCTGCTTGTGGGCAAGGGCAGCCGCAGCTGGGCTGGGGGCACCCCACGCAGGAAGGCATCAGTGTCACAAGAACTGTATTAGTAGCTGCACAAAACAGCCAGTCACTTGAGTTTTGATGTGGAAGTTCACAGACTCAGTCTCTGCGTCTTCCTCTTTTCTGTTCCAGTGGGAGGCTGGATCTTTTCCAATCCAGACGGCGTGTGCCCTGCAGGAAACACCAACTACCCGTACGCTGCTCCTTTGCCTCTGCCTGCCCCCCACCCGCACCACGGCTGTGAGCACTACTCGGGCCTCCGGGGACACCGGCAGGCCCCCTACCCTTCTGCGTACATGCATAGAAACCACGCTCCCTCTGGTGTGTGATCTGCTAATTAAACTCTTGGGGTGTGGGCCGGGGTGGGGGGCAGGGGGAAGGGGATGAACAGCTAATAAAAGAAGTGTCTGAAGGTGGAACCCATTTCATCTAAAATGCATATCTAATATTATTGTATATTATTACTTCTATGTTTTATTATTATTTTATGTATTAATATTTGATGATCTCAGTTTTGCACAATGGCAGTATCGTAGCCAGTGAGGTTTATCTGAGATTGCTAATTGAAAAGTTTCCCTAATACCCCAACATGACAACTTGAAGTATAGTCGGCATTGGCAATTTTTGACAGTCTCTACGGAGACTGAATTAAAAAAAAAAAAAGAAATAAAAGTAAAAATAAATTATAAAAAATATTTTATGAACTGGTTATAACAGTCTTAGTGTTTTACAATTATTTCATAAAACACTCAGTCTCCTGGTTTCCAACGGGTGTGAAAGGCCAGGGTGCTGATGTACTGAGCGGTTTCAGGCTCATCTCTAAAAGCCAAGCCAAGTTGAGTGGGTCTAAGACACTCAGTTCATTGCCTTCACGTGGCCCTTTTCTGCTGTTGCATTCATGGCTCAGTCCAGGGAATACTGGGTCCAGCGTTGGAGAACTATTAGGAAGGTTTCTGCAATGAGCTAGATCATTGCACATTCAGGCCTCAGCTTGATTCAGCTGGAGACATGCAAACCCAACTATAATTTTTGCAGTCTGATAGTTTATTTAAGTTAATGCTATTGTCTATGTGCTTTTTTTCCTCATTGACTGCTGCCTGTCTACCTTAGCCTTGTGAAAACTTCCTAGACCTTGCCTAGTTATTAGATTTGTAGGAAGAAAGGAGAAATGACAACAAAAGTTAATTTTTCATTAAATTATTTATGCAGGCTGGGCATGGTGGCTCACGTCTGTAATCCTAGCACTCTGGGAGGCCAAGGCAGGAGGATCGCTTATGGTCAGAAGTTTGAGATCAGCCTGAGCAAGAATAAGACCCTGTCTTTACTAAAAAATAGAAAAAATTAGCTGGGTGTGGTGGCACATGCCTGTAGTCCCAGCTACTAGGGAGGCTGAGGCAAGAGGATCGCTTGAGCCAGGAATTTGAGGTTGCAGTGATCTAGGCTGATGTCACAGCACTCTAGCCTAGGTGAACAACAACAACAACAACAAAAAGTTATTCATGCAACAAATATTTATTGAGGACCAACTATATGCCAGGCTTTGTTTTAGGCACATAAAAGATGAGCAAATGCCCTACCTTTATGGAGATTCTATACCAATGTGAAGAGATTGACACTAAAGCAAGTAAAGTTCGCAGCATGGGAGATGGTGAAGAGTGTTTAGGTTCCAGCCTCCTTCCTTCTTCAGGGACACCCCGAACTCTGCATTGGTAGAGGGCTTTCCTGGTCACCAGCTACTGTCACTATGTTCCTTAGCCTGCCACTGCCAGCGACCTCAACAGCTGCTGCCAGGAGGGGAGAAAATGTAGCTTAACGATATCAGAACTGAGCAGTGTCTCACTCGGCTTCCTGGTTCTTTCCTGTAGTCATCACCCAGAGCGTGCCGTCTGAGCACCTGCGATGCACCAGGTTGCTACAGGCAGTGAGGGCAGGAAGGTGATTAAGACACAGTTTCTTCCCTGGAGGAGCTCAGGCCTACACAAATACATAAATAAGGAATCATAATACAATGTCATGAGCTCTGATGGGGTCCTCGGACCTGCAGCATCACCTAGAATCTTGTTAGAAAAGTAGACTCTCAGGTTGTCCTCCTGAATCGGAGTCTGCACTTTAAGAATATCCCCAGGAGATTCACGTGCACATGAAAGTTTGAGAAACAGTTTGTGAACCACACAAGCCGAGGTGCCAGGGGAACGAAGGAAAAGGAGCATTTGATACGCCCGGTGGGGCAGCGAAAGCTGCCCAGAAGAGCTGACATTTAAATTGAGCCTTGCAGAATGAATGGAAAAGGACAGAGTGGGAGTGGGCAGGGGTGAAAGGCAGATGGTGTGACGTGTGACACAGGCAGTGGTGCAGGTGGTCCAGGAGAGCAAAGACACAGAAGGGTAAAGAGCCCGGGCTGTCCAGAGACAGGTTTGGAGCGGAGGGTAGAGGGATGGATGGAAGATGCAAGGGCTAAGGCTGAGGAGGTGGCAAGTGCAGATCATGAAAAGAGCAGCATGGCCAGGCGTCTTAGTCCACTGTAGTCTCAGGTGCAGTGCTGTAACAAAATCCCTGAGACTGAGTACTTTATAAACAACAGAAATGTATTTTTTCACAGTTCTGGAGGGTGGAAAGCCCAAGAGCAAGGTGCTGGTGTCTTGCGAGGGTCTTTTTGCTGCATGATAATATGGCAGGAGGCCTCTATGGGTGACAGAGGGCGGGAAGGGGGCCCCGAACGCTTCCTTCTCTAAGGAGCCCACTCCCACAGCATTGGCATTAATTTATTAATGACGGCAGAGCCCTCGTGGCCTAATCATCTCTGAAAGGTCCCACCTCTCAGCACTGTGTCACCGGGGTCTAAGTTTCCAACACATGAACTGGGGACACGTTCTAGCTATAGCATGGGGAATACACACTGGAATCTTCCTCCACTTCCTCCCTTTCCCCCTTTCCCCTTCCTTCTTCTCTCTCTTTCTCTTTTCTGTCTTTCCCTCATATATATATATATATATATACACACATACACATACACACTATTTATGCAAATGGAGATTCAAAGAAATAGAAGACATTATTCTTTTTCCCCCCAGAAAAATGATATGTAAAGTGCACAACATGATGTTTTGATATACACATGTGAAATGTTACTACAGTCAAGCAAATTAACATATCCATCTTCTCACATGGTTATTTATTTATTTATTTTTTTATGATGAGAGCACCTGAAATCTACTCTCTTTGCAAATGTCCAGTATCCTATACAGTATTAGTGACTACAGTCGTCATGCTGTAGATTCCTTCTCTAGACTTGGTCATCCTACGTAACTGCAACTTTGTATACCTTGACCAGCATCTCCTCATTTCCCCACCTCCCCGCCCCTGGTCACTACCAGTCTACTGTGCTTCTGTGCAGGAACTTTCTTAGGCTGCATACACAAGTGAGATCTCACAGTCATTTCCATCCTATGAGAAGACACTATTCTTGAGATGTTTAAATCTACTCGGGGACTGCTGACAAGGGTAAAGGTCCCGGACCTCAGACATCTCATCTGGCACGCTGGAGCAATTGGGCTCTTCTTGAGGGGAGGCTGCTATGGTCCCTGCTTACAGGGCAGTGAATGTGGGGGAATGAGCCAGACAGATCTGTGTCACAGAGGCAAATCATCCTACCTCTCTGAGCCTAGTCTATAAAATGGAGACGGGAAGTTGTTGTGAAGATTAAACTGCGAACCATACCTGGCATATATGGTTGCTGTTCAATAAACCTAAGTTCCTTCCTCTTTTCCGTTTCCCTGAGAAAGCGCCAACAAACTGTCGATGCCTGCAGTACAAGCCATGGGTATATTTTGCCCCAGGGCAATGTCATGGGTCACCATCTTCCTGTGTTCTACACGCACCCTCAATTCAACTGTTGTTATTTCCCCAAAGTGAATTTGATAGAAAGCTCAAGCAATAATCTGCAAGTTTTCTCGGGACCCGACAGCTGGACTTCCTTATCCTCCGCGCCGCACGCCAGCCTCCTGTCCGTGCCCCACGCCAACGGCCCCGTCAACCCAGGGCCTAGGTAAGCCCGGCGCCAGCGGCGCACTCGTTGGCGGTCTTGGGGGTTTGCTTTGGCACTGGGGACTCAAGTTCATCCTTTTCCTAGGGTGGCTTGGTCTGAGTCTTTGTCCCAGTTTCTAAGCCACTAACTAGCAAGTGAAGGTGACAACAGGACGGAGTTCTCCTTTCTTAACTAGTCGTGGGAAAGCACCTGCTCGGTCATATATTCTTTCTTTTGTGGCTTTGGCATTTTATATTTTAAAGGGAAAAATACGACAGCCTGAGATAATTTGTCTTAAACTCCGTCAAAAATACTTTAAACTGTGGTGGTAGCAGACAGATACTGTCTATCGGGGAACTAAAGAGGAAAAGTATAACTATACACTGAGAAATCAAGACCCTTGGCTTTCCATATTCTCATAAGCCACCTGTCCTAAAAGGAGGACAGGCTGTGGGTGCCTGGCCCACAGCCCTGGCAAGAGGGCCAACTGTAACGCACGGGACCTGTGGTACAATCCACATTCCAGAGATCTGCATTTAGTTCTGACTTCTGAAAATCCGCGTTGTGGTGGGGAAAGAGAAGGCACCTTGCGGTCTGACAGACATGGGTTCGAGTCCCAGTTCTACCTCCTACATTGACTTGGTGACTTTGGTGACAATTTTCTTAGCCTTACCAAGTTTCAACTTTCTTATCTGTAGCATGGAAACAGTGCGAGCTACTCCATGGAGTTAAGGTGTGCAGCAAAATAAGAAAATGCAGTAACCTGCTTTGTAAGTGTCAGCTCCTATGTTCATATGAGTATGCAGAATTTTGAGAAGGTCCACAAGGGATTCCAAATTAAAAGATGGGACTTGGGGAGACTTCAGATGACTTGTGATTTGGGGTGTCTAGAGAAAGTTAGGAGAATGTGACGGCCTTTAGTCTACAGCAGTGCTTCTCATACTATAATGTTTTGAAGTCATCCGAGGGTGTTGTTAAAATGCAGAATCTGATCAGTAGGCCTGGGTGGGGGCCTGAGACTCTGCATTTATAATGGGCTCCCAGCTGCTGCTGACGACATGTGGCCCACAAGGCTCCGGTGCAGCCGCCACCGGCCACCTGTGGCTCTTGAATACTTGAAATGCAGCTAGTCCACATTGAGATGTGCTGTGAGTGTGATGCTCAGGATTTTGAAGACTTAGTATGAAACAAAGGATAAAAATTTCACTAATATTTCTTATGCCAAACGCATGTTGAAATGATAGCATTTTAAATATTTTCAATTACATAAAACATTAACAATAAGCTCATTATTTTCTTTTTCTAAGTGTGGCTACTAGGACATGTCAACTTACATGTGTGGCTGGCACTGCATTTCTGTTGGACGGTGCTGGTCTGGGGGCCGAAGGGAAAAGCATTGATTTGGGCTGTGATAGGAGGTGAGAGAAGAGCATGAAGTTGAGGGTCCTTGAGGATATTAGATAATCCCGTGCCAAGTTCTGTGCCGGATACTTTACGTAAGTCACCTGCAGTACCAACATCTGCGAGGCATAAAACTTCCTCTTTTACTGATGAGGAGCCTAAACCTCAGAGGCATTAGAAACTTCCCGAAGGTCACACAGCGAGCAGCGTAACTCAGAGTCTGTGGTTCCCCTGCCGGCCCAGGAGGCATCAGAAAGCGTCTCTAAGTGATAAGTCAGGAAAGCCTGTTCTGGACAGCAGGGCCAGAATCCCAGCACGCTGAGCGCTCTGGGAGCTCGGAGGATGGGCCCTGCAGGTCCAAGGAGGTCTGTAGCATGTGACATACGGCACAGGGTGCAGGGTGGTGTTGCCACCTCTGGTTTCCCTGTTGGCTTATTTAACCCATTACTGACTTTGTAAAGGTTTTTTTTTTTCCTGTTTTTTTTCCCCTGTAAAGATTTTGTTTGAAAAACACAAATATGTTCAGTGCCGTCATTGATAACGTATCAATGCGATGCAGTGTTATCAAGCAATCCAGCGCCAGACACTGCAGAGAGTCTAAAATGTCAGAACAGGTGGTGACTAAAGGCTGAGAACATCGGTGGTCATTGCACCTGTTCCAGCTGCAGGCCTGAGCGGCGAGTTCTACACGGACACACAAGCTTTGCTGCACATCGTGATCGACTGGGAAGCTTTAAAAAATTCTGATGCCCAGACTGCATGCCAGACCGGTTGAATCAACCTTTCGGGGTGGGACTCAGGCATCGGTATTAGTTTTTAAAACTCACTAAGTGCTTCCAACGGGCAGCCAAGTTTGTGACCCAGTGCTGTAGAACTAGAGAAGGCAAGGAGAGTGGCCCAAGTCCCCAGCCTTTGTGCCAGGGACCAGAGCTGACAGGTGGAGACCAGGAACGGAGGACTTCCTTATAACAACCCCCATTTACTGAGTGCCAGGTGCTGGGCATCATATACCTATCTAATCCTCAGAGCGATCTCTGTAAGGTATGTAAAATTATCACTCCAAATCTTGAAGATGAGAAAAATGACACTCAGAGACATGAAATCATTTGGCCAAGGTCACGGAACCAGGCAGTGGTGGAGCTGGGATTCAAGCCCACGTCTTCTGACAGTGTCATGTGCTGCTTACCGAGCCACATGCCCCCGTGGGCCAGCAGGGGCAGGGGGCACACGCACGGTGCCTGCCTTTCGCTGCCCTGCCCGTGTACGCAGGCCACAAGGGAGGCGGGAGGAATGAAACGCTGTGTCCACCGAGTAAGTTGCCAGTGGCAGGGCCAGCACCAGAACCCGGGTCTCAGGACACCTAATTTTATCCTCATTCCACCGGACCTCGCTGCTTCTCTCGGCTCTTCTGCAGAAATGGGGTCAATCCGTGTCACAGCTAGAAGTCAGGCCTAGTCTGCGGCCTGCCCTCCTCAGCACCGTGCGCGGGCTTGCGGGGGGCACTTCTCCCTCAGAGTGCCATCGGACACGCCCCTCTTCTCTCTGTCTCCGCAGCCCCTATCCGTGCCTGGTGACCATCAGCAACGGTGGCGGGGCCCCCGCCGGGCCGGGCGCAGAGGTGCACGCCAGCACCGCGGGGGCGTTCCTCCTCGGGAACCCGGCTGTGACCTCGCCCCCCTCCGTGCTCTCCGCCCCAGCACCCACTTCGGCTGCCATGGAGGTCCTGGGGGAGCCCGCGCTGACCAGCATCGCCGTGTCCACCTGGACAGCAGTGGCCTCGCATCCCTTCTCGGGCTGGGGCGGCCCGGGTGGCAGTGGGCGCCATTCCCCTGCCTCGCTGGACAGTTAGGCGGGGTCCTGGGACCCTCTCTGTGTAGAGCGCTTAGAAACCCCATCTACTCAATCCGGGGGTCCGACTGCAGGCTCTCCCCTCCCGGGGGCTGGGGGGTGGGTTATACCACAAGTCCTCCTGGGACAGGGTTTAGTTTGGATGATGTTGATTACATCCCTTGTGCCTCTCCACCGCTCTCTTTTGCACTGCCATTCCTCTGCAGCTTATCCTTGTCCTGCTTAGATGACAGAAGTTCAGGGATACCTTCCTTGTGCCCTGCCCCTTCCTCTCAGATGGTTCTGGAAAGCCTCACTTCCTTTTCTGCGGAGGTGGTAGAAAGCTGTCGGGTGAGCTCAAAGTTTACCTAGTTAAGGCCACTGCTTCCTTTGTGCAGCCCGGGAAAGTACAGTCGTCCCTGAGAACACCTGGGGGTTTGGTTCCAGGAAGGACCCCTGCATGTACCCAAATCCACCCACACAAGTCCTTCACGGTTGGCCCTGCGGAACCTGTGTGTGTGGACAGTCGGCCCTCCACATACCTGGGTTTTGCATCACAAATACCGTATTTTCAATCCGTGTTTGGCTGACAATCCACATATAAGTGACTTGCACAGTTCAAACCTGTGGTGTTCAAGGATCAACTGTATGTGTGGCCACAGGGCCCGGGTTGGTTTCTGCTTTGAGGTCAAGAGAGGGTGTGAGTCCATAGAGTAAGGTTAACACCCAGGATAAAGCTAATCACGTATTACAGCATGTATCAACTCACAGAAGCGAGGAAATGAGGTCCTGTCACCCCCTCGCTCAGGAACCTTCAATGGCTCACCATTGCCTATGGAATGAAGTCACATCTCCTTACTGTAAGGAGACCCTCCACCATCTGCCCTGAAAACGCTTCCCCGGCTTTAGCTCCCTCTGCTCTCCCTGTGGCATCCGTGTTTCGGTCTTGGCAGATGTCTCTGTTCTCCGAACTTCCATTGTACTTTCCCACCTCTACACCTCGCCTGAGCCGGAAGTGTCCTTCCCTGTCAGTCCACTGTGCGAGTCCTCCCCACCTCCCAGGGACGGGCTGAGCGTCACTCCCTGCATTTAGCATCTGATGGGCCGAGGTATAGCTGAGCATTCCCTGCTCCCCGCTCTCCCACTGTTTTCGCCTCTGCCGTTGAGCCCACCTCCTTCTGCCTTGTATTTTTGTTACCTGCGAGTGTGTCTCTCTCCCAGCTGAACTGCAAGCCTCTGGAGGGTGGGCTAGCCTTGTCTTTGTACCCACCGCACCTGGTACTGTGCCTTGCCCGTCATAGGTGCCCAATAAACATTTCCTGAGCTGAACTGGTGTGGAGTGTGTATGCTAGAAGGGTGGTGTGGAGCTCAGAGAAGACACGTCCCCAGGACACGTGGTGTGTCAGGTGGGAGCCCAGGAACAACCTGGGTGTTTCCCGGGCTCCTCATCTGAGGCTCAACGGACTCTCAGTAATGGATGATGATAATATGGAGATGGGGTGCTAGAGGCGTTATTCCCAAACATAGGTCCTTGGATCCCCTGTTCTGGGATCACCTGGAGCACCTGATAGAAATGCAGATTCCCAGGCACACCCCATACCTGCTGGATCAGAATCTTTGGGGTTGGAGTCCAGGAATCTGCATTTCGAATAAGTACTCCAAGCAATGGTCGAGGAGCCAGGTTTGGAAGCTACTTGCCTAGAATAGAGAAACGGAACAAATGCCCCAGGAACCTCATTTCTGATGAGTCTCCACCTCTGCCCCAGCCAAAGTCATTGCAGTCACCAATGAGCAAAATCACTGTTTCATGAGTTACCTGTTTCTTTGCTACCCACGACTGGATGTGCTAATAACCACGGGAGTGAGGCTTCCAGACCTGCGTGATGAGCGGTTCTCCAAACATCAACGTCACACTGCGTAGACTGAGACGGCCTCCTCAGGGCCTTCACAGAGGGTCTAAGGTTCCACTTGGAGGCTCACAGTGGCTCAGCTGCCCCTCCAACGTTCCGTCAGCTGAGCCCATGCAAACCCACCCCACTCCAAACATGGCACTGTTGAGTCCTTGGCTCTTTCTATGGTGAAATGTCCTTTAACATGTGGTTAGCACTGCCCAATATTTCTGTACTATTCCGTTTTTTGGATCTCTGGCAACAACTGGATACAATGCCACTCCAGCTACATGGTGTCCTGGGAACCCTCATTATCCCACTCAGGGTTGCTTGGCCAGAGCTCTGGGCTGCTGATGGGTGTGTGAGTGGCCCAGGCACAATGTCCCCATATGCCCCCAAGCCAGGACTGTTTCTGGCTTCCCAGTCCCTTTGCAATCCCATTACAGGCCATTAAGATATTAATATATTAGCATCTCTGCAAGATGGCATTTTGGCAAGTTATAAAAAGTGGCCATTTCTCATTCTGTTAGAACTCGAGGCTACTGTGGCCTCCAGTTACCCCGGCAGGTCTGGCAAAGGCCTCTTCATTAGTCACTGTGGCTGTTAGTCATGGAGTGCAATTAGGTCTATCAAAACCCGCCTTCAGTCTCAGCCTTCCCGTACCTCCCCCAGCCCGGGGCAGGCAGAAGATGTGGCCCAGCAGCACAGAACAGAAGGAGGCAATGACCTTCGTTCTTTTTTCTTTTATACTGTGCAGGTGAATTGGGTCTACTGCAGAGCAATGATGTGAGCATTAGCTGATGGTGGGGCGATCCCATCTCACCAATCTTGTGGGATGCTCAGCCTGGAATCTGCAATGGTCCTTAAACACACGATCTCTATTTGTTGTGTTGGTGCTGCATACAGCATCTGTATTTGCTGTTATCCACCCAGCCAGAGACTTTTGGGTCTGTTCTCCAAATAGTCTTAGGGCTAATTTCTGATCGGAAGAAGCAACACTAATTGCTTAAGTCGATGTGATAAATGACAGTTTCTCTGATGTGTTAGACAAACTTTGGAGTCTTGCATACCATTTCCTTGCTCATATATCTTCTTTACCTAGTGCATTATAAGATAAAAAAGAAACGGTGCCACTTCAGGTTTTCTGGCCTATCAATCACATGAAATTTAAGAGAAACTGAAATCCTACCTGAATAGAAATAGTTATATAATTTTTTTTTTAGCCACATGGTAGAGATTCTAACTCTCCCTAAAGCCTGGTCTATTTGAAAGTGTCCCCCCTTGTGGGGCCTTTATTTGGGTCTGTGTGACCTCATCAGCTCCCTGTCCCCGGGTGAGCCAGGCTTATCACAAATCCCTCTGCCACCGTACCGAAGCCAGCTGCTCTCAGGAGGCTGCTGAGTCGTGGTCCCCCGGAACCGGGAGAAAGGGGCAGGGGGGAGGTCACGTGAGGGGAGTGATATTTGCATCACCTACGTTATTAAGAAAAAAGCTCGATAAGAAATATTTTGAAGCTTGGTAGGTATTTGCCAATTTCCCCCAAGACTAGAATACATTTGAGTAAATAAGCAAAAGGTTAAAATATCATGTTTGTGAGGAATATGAACCCTGTTTTATGGAACGGTGGGTCACTCAAAGCTGGGAACGGCAACAGGGGCATTCCAGTGGCAATTCTTTCAACTGATCCCTTTTTATTCTCTCCCGCCATCCCCACCGTACTGAGCCGCATGTTTGCTCCTGGCCAGGTTGGCAAGCAGAGCATGAGGGCCTGGAACAGAGGTTACGGGAGGTGTATGTGGTACTAAAACAGATATCAGGGAAGAGCTCTCCGTCTGAAGACTCCAAAACCATTCCATCGTCATTACTGTAGAGACATCTATGGTGTCGTCTGCCCAGCACCCAACCTTGTTTTGGGAATAGGACCCTGAAACTCTTGAGGGCTCTGCCTTCCCTCCTCCACCATCCACACGTCTATTTTGGGGGTTGTACTGGACTCTGCCTCTCTGGGCAGAGTTGGTTTTGGTTCAGAGGTTCCTATCACTTGCACTGAAGAGTCCTGACTACGACAGGAAGCACCAAAAGCCCAGCGCCGGCAAAGGCACGCAGCCTTGTTAATTCCAAGTTTCGCTATGTTATGAGCTGCATTAGGCCTGAAAAAATGCACTGGAAGTGCCTAGAAATAGAGAAAATGGAGCTGAAGCTTGAGATTTATTGGAAACAGAGTGAAATTTAAAACACCTATTAAGGGAAGTGGTTAAAAGCAGTGGCAAGTAGAAAGCTTCGTTCACCTACATTATTACTAGGCTAGCCCAGAATGGGGACCGAGATGGTCTCTTTACATGAATGTTCCCAACATTTGCTTTCTGCAGATCTATACCGGGCAGAGTGTGTGTTAAACGCGAGTCCCACGGCTAGCTGGACGAATACTGCTCTCTTTCTGGTTGACTAGTAGAGAGTGTTTCCACAATGTGGCTGGATCCCAAGGGTGTGCTTGAATTGTCACCACTGTTCAGCCTGTGTGCTCAGCAGCGCCACAGACAGCTTGGTTCTCAGTGTGCACTTAGGGGCCTGTGTCACAAGTACCACAGCCGGCAGTTAATGGTGATGGAAACCACCGTCACCACTGCGAAAACCAAACCCAGCTCCTTCTCAGGGCCAACAGAGGGATAATGTTCTGTGAGGAGGGGCATTTAGATTTTGCAGCTTCTAGATTCCTGGGGTATCTCTCAAAACTGCCACAGCCTCTCAGTGCTGGCTTCTGTCACCGGGGTTCGGACACGGAGCTACGACTGTCCCACATGGTGCACAGACCACGCTGTAATGGCTTTCTTCTAGAGGCTTAGTGCTTGCGTGTGAAAACTAAGCATAAAGGGGTCTGTACATCCAGAAAAATTAATTTTAAAGGTATAGGTTAATCATCTTCAATTTATTAACATCCTATTTACACATCTTTATTTGTATTGAGATGTGATATTCGTAAGAATACAAATCGTTAAGTGTACAGCTTGATGAATATTTACGTATGCATACATGCCTGTGAAACCCCAACAAGATCAAGATGTAGAACACTTCCAGCACCCAGAAGGCTCCCCTGGGCCCCTTCCTTGGAAATCCTTGGCCCCAAGATCAACAGGACTCTGACCGTTACCACCGTGT